TGCTGGTGGTGCTGGGTCTGCGCCAGGCCTATTTGCGGGGAGAAGGTGCCTCCAAAGACTGGATTGACGTGGTGCGGAAAGTTCTGGAAGAGCATGGTCCCGTTGACTGGGGTGATCCCCTGGAAGAAGCTGTCCTCCACCGCGTTCGTGGTGCCCGTGGACCAGGTGCTGCCGAAGGACGGCGACAACGACGCGCCCGGTGCCGCGGGCTCCTGAGGCGGCGGCTGCTGAGGGGGCTGATGGAAACTCAAGCCCGGCAGGAGCGGCGATTCCATCTGCATCTTGTCCGGGCCGTTACTGGAGAGCACCGGCGACGCCGGGGGGGGGCTGAGGGCCGGCACTGCGCTGCTGTCTTCTGGCTTGGGGGTCTCGGAGGAGAGGGGCGTGGACGGGCTTTCGGCTGCGCTGGGCTCGGGCTGGGGCTGCTGCTGCTGCCGCTGCTGCTGGGGCTGGGGCTGGGTTTTGCTTTTGTCCATCAGTAAATCATCCTGCATGGTTTGCGCAGCTGAAACGGGAAAAAAGAGAGATGCGTTATTGTCAATGCGATCATTAATGCCCCTCGATAAAGCGGGCTGGTGTTTTACTTGCGAAAATCCAGTGCCGCCGCTACTAGCCAATTGCAATGCAAATCCATAATCTCCCATTTAGAGGAACAGGTCGGCCGGGGAAGGGGGGGAGGGCTCGCGCAAGGTCTCTAAAAATACTGTGAGAGCGTCTTCACCCTTTCTGTCTTGCTTCCTTTTCTGTATTAGTGAGAGATGTGCTTATAAGACAGAAAGACAGCAATTTCGCCACGTCTCTTTTCCCTTCACCGGAACTCCGAGCGTTCACCCAGCAATGAGAAACTGATTCTGGTTCCTGTTTTTTCCCAAGCACCACCCTCCCCCAGTTATTTGCATACGTCAATAAATACTGCTGCGTCCTTCAGCAAGGTTAAAAAGACAGGGCACACACGACCCTTTCTTCCCCCTTCCCTGGTTCCAGCACTTAAAAAAAATAATAATAACCAGCAGTCTTAGCCCTCCTGATTAGCAAACTGCCTTCTTGCGTGGATGATTGTTTCATTTAGCTGCAGCGAACCACGAGGGAGGAAATCCTTGGCATTTGTTAGAAGGACTCAGCTGCACAATCATTCTCTGGCCTCCCAGTAGCTACAGCTACTCCATTTTGTTAGGAGACATAAAAACCACCGTTTTTAAAGAGGTAAAAACCTAGTGCAGTGTTTGAAAGTGCTTGCTTCTTGATACTCTAAGGATTATGGGTTTTCTGCGTATTCTCCAATTTTCTTGTCTCCAATTCTACCGCACAACGGCTTTCTTGGCATCTCAGCGCTTCGGGTCTCCACGGGAGCCTGAGAATTTCTCTACAGAGTGGAGAAATGATCCTAGTCGGATCTGAGGTCTAGGGGAAGGGGGAAAGGGGGGAGTAGTGTGAGATGGAATGGGGGTGGGGCTTTTTAAAAATCCCTCCGCGATTTAAGTAGACAGTCAAGATAATTCTGGGGTTGCCAGATTTTCATTTTTGAATCCTGCTGCTGCTGCTGCCGCTGCTGCTGCCGCCGCCTTGGTCACAAGACTTTGGCAAATTTAGAATCCCTTCTCTTATCACTAGTATTAAGCAGTGAAAGACTACAGTTTGAAGACCCTGAATTACCATATGCTAGCCAAAGTGTTAAAAATAGAGGAGTACAAAGTCCTGATTCTCATACACAGTAATTACAGTGCACTGCCATCACTGCTTCATTTAGCCATATAAGGAGTGTACGGTATTTTCCATTTCGCATAGGACTATATTCACCTCTGCCATACAGCCTGTTTTGTTATTCAAGGATGAAAATAGTAATCACTCAAAACCAGAAGACATCCATACATGCAGTTATCACTGTGAGCCTGTCCCTTCAAACATGTCAATTGCTTTAAATATGTGAATATTACAGTGCTGAGACTCTGAAAACAAATATTTTGAATTGTTACAGGGGCATATGACTAAACATGTAATTATTTTTAGATGATGATTCAGTACAATTGCAAGGAAGTTATTAATATATTTAATAGTTAATTAACTCAGATATTTGGAGAAATATCTTTCTCAGGACACTTAGGAAAAAGGTCGATAATACCCAGAGGTCTGTGTCTGGATATCCTGATAATAACATTGTGAAATGGAGATATTACCATTCTTAACTATCAAGCAAAAGAGCCAGACTGAGAAATGACATTAAAAGTAGTGCTATTATTTTATTAAAGACTATTAAAATGGTTCATTGCTATCTTTTATTTCAAAGTTTCATATACGAACAAAATAATGGGCCCCAGGAAATGCTTGACTACCACCTTACTCCGTTTCTACTCCAAAATCCCTTGTTCCCTCATCCCCCCAGGAAAAAACACAACCCAATATGATATATAATACATCACAAGTTGCCAGCTACTATCAATAAAACCTACTTAAGATTGCTTTTATATTCTCCTCAGTTCTCTCGGTCTAAAACAATGGCTTTGATCAGTATTGTACAACACAAAGAGGCAAGCAAAGCTCAGATTCAGACCACAAAGTTCTATTACTACCAAAGCAGGTGGTCATGGAAAGAGACATTTTCATACTTGCTTTAAACAGTGCTGCAGTAAACCTTTATAATCTGGGATACGAGTCCCTTCCAGTGAGGTAGAACTGTCTTTACAACAGCCATATCATCATGGCTGAAACGTGCATTTGATGATTTTAATATCACTCAGCTTTTCTTGCTTGTAACACACAGCTTTTTGTTAATGCCATCAGTTAGCTATCCTTGTTCTTGGTGGAAAAATTAATGCTGTACTACAGCAAAAACACCAAAAAGTAGGTTGGACTCGGAATATTTTATAATGGCTGTAATTAATATTAATATAGCCATTGAATTTTTAAAATGTTAAACCAGAAATACCCATTTCTCTTCTCAATACTCCTTAAAGGTATAATTTCACTTTCTGCATAAATTCACTCTGTCAAGGTCAAGACCCACCTTTAATAAATAAGACCCTTTTAAACAAAAGTAAACAGTGGATTCAGGTGAAATTTACAAAGTTAATATGCAGTGTTTCTCAGTACCTACCTGTTTAGTTTGTTGGGGTTTTTTTGGTTTTTTTGCTTATTTACAGCAAAGTCCGAGAAATAGATACTCCTTCCCCTCCCCCACCACACACACAATAGATCTTCTTTCACATGCAATAACCCCATTTCAAGTAACAAATTCTTAGCAGCAGTTACCTTCGAGTGTCCAGTTTTTAAGGATCGATAAAATGAAAAAGTGTACAGTATTTATTCTCTTCTTTCAGGTTGATTATGTGACCGCTCTGGCAAAAGCACTTTGACAACTGTAAGCAGAGAGGGCATGCGCACACAGGGAACTGTGGGGGCTGAAGTCCTTCACAAGATACTCTGCCTGACTTCACACGTTCAGGCAGGAAAGGAGGAAGCCTTGAAATACAAATTCCAAGGCAAAGAGGCTGTGCCCGGATTACATTCTATCTTCCTAACCAATCTAAATCACGAACTGTTGAAATGAAAAGGGGAAAAATAAACTGGTTTGTCAACTTGATTTAAGAAGCTAGGTTAAACGAGAAACTGGATTGTAGGACTCAAAACAAATAAACGCGGCAGAGCTACCTTAAATGGTATTCGAATGGTAATGACTGGGTAGCTGGCAAATGGGAACAGGACAGGAGAAAAAGCTATTGGGGTGGGGAGGATTAAGCTAGAGAAGGAAACTCCTGGGAAAAGAGAAATACATATAATCTGGCCATGCTTAAAAAGAGTATTTTAAATATAAAATAAAAAGTGCCTTAACACTAAATGTGATGTTAACCTTGGGAGTCAGGTAAAAATTGGTTTTAGTTACATTTTTGACATTTTGTTCACCAAGATTTCTTGTATGTGAATTTTCAACGGAGGTACAAATACTTATTTTAAGATTCTGCCTGCCAGGCTCTGAATCAACTCACCTCATTGACCTTTCATTATTCATATAATGATTAATCAAATAAGAGTAACTCTTGTACTAAAATGATACTTGGTAAAATATGAAATCTACATGTTTAATGTTTCACTGCAGAAGTGACTTCTTTATTCAAGACAAAAAGATGTTTTTATTAAAAAATAAAATTTTTTGGTGTACAGTGTTTATCCTATTTTAACTTTATAATTCCAATGCTGAAATCTCACAACATATTAGCATCAGTTGTTATCATGGGTAGTTTCAGAGCTCAATAGCTCAACCACTGGTCTGCTCACAGAGGCAGAAGACAGTATTTCTTGTGGAATCAAGTTGGTTCAGTGCCATTCACCTAAGGGGATCCCTGTAAGTGTCAGTTGAGGTCTATGCTGACTGAACTTGGAACAGAAAATATTAAGCATCATTTAAAGCTGTCTTGGGGCCAGGAAATGGTATAGTGGTTACATCGCTAGACTTCCACATTGCTGACCACGGTTCTAATCCCAGACCCGGTGGCTTGAAAATCATGCCAGGTGTGTGTGTGTGTATGTGTGTGTGTAAAATCCAAGGAGAAGAATGGAGAAGGGATTACTGTGGCCTGGCCAGCCCCCCTAGGGCATGATTTCTCACTTTCCCTCTCATTGTCTCTTTCTCTGGCAAGTGCAAACACCGCAAGGCAAAACCTCTCAAAATAAATAAATAAATAAAAAGCTGTCTTAATTTTCTATTTTTCTTCTTCGTCAATTAAAACTAAATTATTACCAGAGACCACTAATTTGCAGGATTTAATTGTCTTTGTTTCTAGTTATTTTTAAGGAAAAAACAAAAACTAACAATTTAAGAGGAAAAGAACAGAGATGAATCTGCCAAAAGTAAAATAACTAAATGCTTTCTATTTCAACTGTAACCTTTCCTTATATTCCCCAGTTTTCTTTTCCTCTCCCTACTGAAGTTTCTCTTCTGCTAAGGTGCTGTAATTCATATTTGAATTCCAGGGTCAATAAGGATCAACCCAAGGTTAACCTTATTCCAGAAGACTTCAATAATTTAAAAAACTTCTATGACATTTTCAAGTAGTGCAAGAAAAAACAATCCCTGGGACCAGCATAAGGCGTAATGGTTACATCGCTGGACTCCCATGTAGTTGACCACCATTTGAGTCCCAGACCTGGTGGCTTAAAACTCACGCCAGGCCCCTCAATAAGGGTAAACTTTTCTTTATTAAAGTTCAGTTTTTTTATTTACCTAGAAAGGAAGTATTTTCAGGGGCCAGCAGGTGGCATGGTGGTTAAAGGCACTAGACCATCCACATGGCTGACCACAGT